CCCTGTACCACAAGTAAATAAATAAATAAATAAGATAAAATTTTTAAAAATAAATAGAGATAGATTAAGGAGGGGTCTCTGTAGAATGGAGGCAGGAGAGAAGTGGCTGGTGTCTGGCATATACTGGCATCTACCTACTCAGTGCCTTAGGGCCTGGGAAAGGCCACTCCAGGCCTGTTTGTGAACTGAGGATTCATATGAGGAAAGGAAAACAGGAGGACCTTGGGAAGGTGCAAGGAAATGGCCACCTGGCAGAGGGACTATCCTGGGTCCACCAGAGGACATGGCTCACCCAGTGCCATTAGCCTGGGTGCCTTAGAGCAGCAGGAGCTGGCCTGCTGAAGGTAGGCTCGCTGCCTACCCCAGGGCTCCTACCCTTTCCTCTGGCCCCACAAACTTTGAATAGTCTTGTTCTCCAAACTGGAAATGAAAGGTGAGCAAGACACAATCCCTGCCCTAGGAAGTGTCCAGGCTGGGGACACATCACAGGAGCAGCGCAGGTCCAGTTGAGGAGCAGTGGAGGCTGGTGTAGGGGGCACCCCCCAGCTGGGAGACCTGGAGGCTCTTAGGGGCCATACCAGCTACAGACAACATCCAGGATCCTGGCTGCTGCCCCATAGAATAGATAGGACTGTGGCAGGCACAGCCTAAGCCAAGGAAGAACGGGGAGCAGCAACAGATGGAAAAGCAGGGTCACGCAAGGAGTAGCCTTGCAAATCTTGGGAAGTGCCACACTGTCATTTGGCTTTATACAAAGAACTTGGCTTGTGTGGCAGGTGTGCATGTGTGTGTGTGTGTGTGTGTGTGTATACATACATGTGTGTGTGACAGAGGAGTTATATGGAACTGGGGATGCCAAGCCCAATTAGGAAACTCTTTGGGATCCAGGTGGGAAACAGTCTCACAGAGAAGGGCCTAGAAGGGTGGAAGAGACTGGGAGACCCCAGGGCCCACTTGGGAGAGTAGAGAGTTCCTTTCTGGGCTCCTGGCTGAATGCAGGGGCTGTCCAGGCTCTTGGTAGAGCCCTAGGAAGGGTAGAAGAGCAGCTGGGGCCTATAAAGGGTCATCCAGGGAGTGTGTGCAAAACCATGGAAAGGGTCACCAGGTCACCCAGAGGGACCCAGGGAGGCTGTGACCAGTCAGCCAGGGGAAAGTTGGCAGGAAGCCACCATCCAAAACACTTTCTGGTTTGTGAATCCTCAGATTGGGAGAAAGTGTGCTTCAGGTGATGGACACGTGGACATGTGCTCAGGCTTGCAGTGTGTGGGTGCCTGCTTACTGCTCCCGTGCCCTGCCTGCCTGGGCTTTGGGGCACACGAAGCTATGGGGCTTCTCTCCCAGGACTGAGCTGCAGAAGGTGTAGAAGCAGCCCTGCAACCTACCTGCTTGCCCTGGGACAGAGCTCCTGGGTGTCCTGATGGAATTAAGGAGGTCACAGCCTTCCAACCCCAAGGGGCCTGAGGGAACATCTGCCCAGGAGAAGCCTGCCCAAGAGACCCTCCACACCCCTTCCTGTCCCACTGAGGGAGGTCTCCTGCTCTCTTCTTCCTCCTGACAGCCCAGGGCATCAAGGAGAGAGAGATAAGAAAAGGTCCCTGTAGGACCATAGCAGAAACACTAAGAAACCGTGCAAGGGTGTGTGAGCCCCCAGAGACCTAGGCCTGTGGCACTGGAAGCCCAGAGCATTTTTTAGCTAGGTTCATATAATCCCTGCTAATCAGTAGGTCAGATTCTCTTTCATCTTGCTCTGGCACTTTCTCCCACTCAGAATGCCATGCTTAACATACAGCAGGCGCTTAGCACACCTACATCAGATGGCAGATGGAGAAGAGAGTGACCTCCATGGACCACAGGGCCCACATCCCCCCCACCCAGCAGGCAGTGACTGGATACCTGGCAGCAGAGGCTGCATGCACTCAGGAACAGAGGTACCACTCATTCCTGCATCTCCAAGCCCAGGCTATCTGAAGGCCATCTGCCTCCCTTGAATCCCAGCCCCCCACACTGACAACCTTCTCACAAACTCCAGCCCTCCTCAACTGCCCTTCCACAAAAATACCACCACTTTCCTCTTCAGCCTCAGTTTCCCTGTTTGTAGGAAGAATCACAGAACACTAGGCAGCTCCAACATTACATATGAGCCAATAGCGGCCAGCATATATTCCCTGTAGCCCTCAGTGGCCATGGGCCCAGGCTGGGGGGCAGTGGAACTGGCACAGGCAGAGTGTGCACTGCAGGCCACTGGCCTTGAGACAGTTCCAGAAGAGGCAGCCCTACACCTGGGCCTTGCAGGTTCCTGGAGTGAGGGGTGGCAGAGGGAACGGTGAGAGCAGGTTGCCACAGGCAGAACAAGAGTTGCACTGGGGGGCAGGGTGGTGGTCTCTACATGGGCCCCAAGCCCAGGACCAGGTAACTTCTGTTTTGCTGCCTTCTTGCAGCCCCATGATTATTTTGAGGTCCTGTTACATTAGTTACTACTTATCCACAGGGATACACTGCAAGACCCCCAGTGGATGCTGAAACCATGGATGGTACCATGCCCTCTCTAAACCATGCTTTTTTTTTCCTGTATAAACTTATAAACCTGTGATGACATTTCATGTTTCAGTAAGGTACAGTAAGATATTAACAACTAATGCTGAAATAAAGCAGTTTGTAACAATACACTATACAGAAGTTAAGCAAATGTGGTCTCTCTCAACATATTGGTAAGTTTTCCTTTATGAGCTGTGGACTTCATATTTTTCTGCAGTCTGAGATATTACAGGAAAGTTACCATGTGTTTCTTTTTCCTTCTTCTTAGCAACCTCAGCATATTCTTTCTTTCCTTTCCTTTTCTTCAGATTGAGAACTTGCTCCTTTTCACATACAAGAGGCATTTAATAAATGCCTTCTCTTTGGCATATCCAAATTGCCAGCTTCACTGCTCTTGCACTTTGGGGCCATTATTAGGTAAACAAGGGTACCTTGAACACAGCATTGTGATATTGCAACTGTCAGTCTGATAACCACGGTAGCTACTGAGTAACTAATAGATGGGTAATGTGTACACGGTGGTTTCACTGGAGGAAGGGATGACTCACACCCTCGCAGGACTAAGCAGGCTCCTGTGAGATTTCTTCACACTACTCAGACCACTGTGTTGTTTAAACTGGTGAGTTCTTTCTTCCTATCTTTCCTTCTTCTTCTTCTTCTTTTTTTTTTTTTTTTTTTTTTGTGGTGTGTGTGTGCGCGCGCGTGCGCACACACACTTGGGATTGAACCCAGGGTTGCTTTCCCACTAAGCTACATCCCTAGCCCTTTTTATATTTCAATTTGAGTCAGCAGCGTGCTAAGTTGCCCAGGGCTGGTCTTGAACTTGCAATCCTCCTGCTTCAGTTTCCTGAGCCTCTGGGATTTCAGCATGTACTACCGTACCAAGCTATGACTTGTTTATTTCTGAAAATTTCCACTTAATATTTTCAGACTGTGGTTGACCATGGGTAACTGAAACCTCTGATAAGGGAGCTACTGAATTGCTAATTGAATTCCGTGGGATGGACATGCCATGGCTTTTCATCTATCTACCTGTTGATGGACATTTGGATGCCTCCCATTTGAGGCTGTCACAAGAGCACTGCTGTTATCTTTGTCTTGTCTTAGTGCAGTTGTGGGCTTCTCTAGGGGAGGGACCCAGTGACTTGATGGGAATATGCCTAGCTTCTGGAGTTGCTGCCAGCATGCTCTCCAAGGGACACACTGTGTCACCGCCTCCTCCTTGCTGTTCTCTGACTCTGCAACTCCAACTGTTTCTTGCTATAAGTGGAGCTTCTGTTGATTCTGGTTTGCACTGCTCCTTGCCAAGGAGTGTTGAGCATGTGCTTGTAGACCCTTGTGCACTTTTTAAAATTTCACATATTTATGATACACAAATACATCATTTAATGTTCAAACCAGGGCTTTTGGCATATCCATCACCTTAAATATTTATCATTTTTTGTAGTAAAAACATTTAAAATCCTCTCTTTTAGCTCCCCTCTCAACCTGGGGAATCGAAACCCAGGTCCTCATGCATATCAGACAAATGTTCTATAGCTGAGACTCATCCCCAGCCCCTCTCTTAGCTATGCTTAAATATTCGATGACTTTTGCTCCCTGGGCTCACCCTGTTGTACATGTTGTCACTCATATGTGGAAGCTGAAACATCTGTTCTCATAGAAGTGGACCAGAGGCTGGAACGGGAGGGAGAAGGGCATTAGAGAGAGGCTGGTCAAAATTGCAGTAAGACAGCAGGATGGCTCTGGTGGTGGCTGTCGAGTCCTCTGTGCACTGAAATAAAGCAGTTGTAACAATATATTATACAGAGCCATCCTGCTGTCTTACTGCAATTTTGACCAGCCTCTCCCTAATGCCCTTCTTCCTCCCGTCCCAGCCTCTGGTCCACTTCTATGAGAACAGATGTTTCAGCTTCCACATATGAGTGACAACATGTGCTACTTGCCTTTCTGTGCCTGGCTTATTTCGCTTAACATGATGATCTCCATTTCCATCCATGTGGCCAATGACAGGATTCGCTCTTTTTAAGGACTGAACAGTCTTTCACTGCGCATACTACAGAGCGATAATAACCCAGATAACATGGTATTGGCATGAAAACAAACCCACACAATGCAGCAGAGCAGAGACCCCAGGAATTAACCCACATATTGACAGCCGATGATTTTCAACAAGGCGCCAAGAACGCATACTGGGGAAAGGACAGTCGTTCCAATAGATGGTGCTGGGGGACTAGAGATCACCTGCAGAGGAAGGAGACTAAACCACACCAAAGACAAACGTGAGACCTGAAATGTCAAACCACTGGAAGAAAACGGGAAACGCTTCCCCACCTGGTCTGGGCAGGACGCCCCACCCAGGCCGCCAGAACCGCGCGCTCCTCCCGCTCTCCTAGGCTGGTGGCGGCGCGCCCTCCCCCAGCCTCCTGCCAGCCCCGCCGACCCCGTCCCTCCTCTCTCCGCAGCCACACGGGAGTCGGCCTTTGTCCACGCGATTGCTTCCGCCGGCGTGGCCTTCGCGGTGACGCGCTCGTGCGCAGAGGGCTCGGCCGCCATCTGCGGCTGCAGCAGCCGCCACCAGGGCGCGCCCGGCGAGGGCTGGAAGTGGGGCGGCTGCAGCGAAGACATCGAGTTTGGCGGGATGGTGTCTCGAGAGTTCGCTGATGCCCGGGAGAACCGGCCCGATGCCCGCTCCGCCATGAACCGCCACAACAATGAGGCCGGTCGCCAGGTACGTCCCCGGGATCAAGGGTCCTGGGGCAGTGGGGGCTTCCTCAGCAGGGCGAGCGTCTGTCGGGCAGTACAGCGGGCAGGGGGAGGGCCGCCTGCGGTGCCCAGACTGGAGGTCTGTCACATCCTGTTCAGCAATGCCTGAAGGTCAGCACTGTCCACCTGCGCTCCAAACATCCCCTGCATGCCTATGGGATGGCGAGGCCACCTGTGTGTGGCTCACCGGGAGGAGGGAGGCCTTCATGATCCCCTGTGCCATCCAGGGAGAAAGAGAGCCAGGCAGGGGAGTCTGCAACCAGGACATGCACACGAGGTGACCAAGGGGAGGGAGACAAAGACAGGAGGACAGGTGGTGGATGGATAAGGGCAAGCAGATATTCATGAGAATGTGAAAAACAAAAGAGGAAAGGACAAGAACAAAACGTTGAAAGCTTCCACCTTTTGCCTGGAGGTAATAGGGTCTTGCTGTTTTCTTCAGGGTTTCAGGAAGAAAGACAGACGCCTGAATTTTCTTGTGCAGAGGGCTATTTTCACTGCTCGCCCTTTTCAGAGAGTAAACTTCCAGACCATGAACACTCCATGTCTAGTAGACCCAGGAATGAAAGTCTATTTTAAAAGTATTTTATACCCATTGGCTCCCATTGTCCATCTTCTTTTTATATATATATTTATTTTTTAATTGTAACTGGACCCAATACCTTTATTTATTTATTTTTATGTGGTTCTGAGGATCGAACCCAGGGCCTCACACATGCTAGGCGAGCGCTCTACTGCTGAGCCACAACCCCAGCCCTCTGTCTAGCTTCTTGTAGCCAGGAGCAACCTCTTTATGTGGCAGGAGTGTGGGGTGTATTTCAAAAAGGGTGAGCAGGGGTCTCTGCCTGAGGGACACTAAGCACAACTGAGGGAGAGTTGCCAACATGAAAATAGTGTCCGCATGTGACGTTCAGACCTTCATCTCTCTCCTGAAACCCCAGTTACAGGAGCGGACCTTCATTAGCTTCAGGCAAGAAGATGGAAGAGTCTCTCTGGTAATCCAACCCACCCAGAAGAAAAGGCTTAAGATACTCATGGGGGAGTCCCTAACAAAATAAGGCAGCCAATCGTACTTCAGTGAGCATCAAAGTTGACGCACCCCACACACACATGAGGATTTCCAGCAAGCTACTCAGTGTACCACTCTCAGTGTGTGCAGACAGCCAGGGGTAACCAGACACCTAAAGAAAGCCTCTGCTACCAACAATAGTTAAGAGTAAAATACACGAACAAGAACAGAACTTAAGGGAAAGAGTATTGTAAGGAGAGAAGAGAACTTCAAAAAACTGTCAGTATCTACAGAGAAACAATACACCATATCCATGAGATTGGAATACGATGTAAATTTAAATAAAAGTCAGAGGGAAAAAAGAGCTATTTGTAATATAAAATATGAATTTTTAAAATTCAGAATATCTTAGCCGGGCATGGTAGCACATGTCTGTAATCCCAGTGACTTGGGAGGTGGAGACAGGAAGATTGCAAGTTCAAAGCCAGCCTCAGCAAAAAATGAGGTGCTAAGCAACTCAGTGAGACCCTGCCTCTAAATAAAATACAAAATTGGGCTGGGATGTGGCTCAGTGATCAAGTGCCCCTGAGTTCAATTCCTGGTACTTACTATCTATCTATCTATCTATCTATCTATCTATCTATCTATCTATCTATATATTTTGGAAGATAATAAGACACTTTCCCATAAGACAGAAAGAGCCAAAAATAGTCAAAGAGATGAAAGATAAGCAAGAACAGAAAATGTGGCAGGTCTTTCCAACAAACACAAAGATGAATACAAAGAGGAGCAATTTAGCCCATATATATATATATATATATATATGCACACACACACACACACACACACACACATACATACATACATACACACAAACACACACCAAAAAAAAAATCAGAAAGTTTCCCCAGAACTGTCAGTGGCTGAACAGCAAGGAGGAAAGACCCACAAGACTCACTGATGTGAAGTTCAGAGCCTACAACATATTGAAGCCCACTAACTTTCAGGAAGAATATTTGGGTTTATGCAAAAGATCAGGAATCAAAATTGGATCAGACTTCTCAGAACAACAATGAAAGTTAGAATAAAATAGGGTAATACCTTCAGAACTCTGAGGGACAAAATGGTTTAAACCAAGAGTTTCAGACCCAGCTAAACTATACATTAAACAGCATATGCAGTAGAAAATATTTGTTTTCAGACATACATATTTTACAAAATTTACCAGAAGTCATCTTCTGGCAAAAATAGATATCTCCAAGAAGATGAAATTTATAGAATTGATAGATGCATGAGCATCCTGAAGAAGGCATTTAGATAATTAAGGAAGAATTGGAGGATGAATCAATGACAGATACAATAATAACAGCAAAGAGAAAAAGTCATGTGGGAAAAGAAATAATACACCACATGGCTTCATGGAGTATGACATTTAACATGAGGCTAACACCATCAGCAGAAATGTTGATCTTACTGAAATTCTGCTATAGTTATTAGATTGGGGAGGGGGAGAGTTGAGAAATGTGGTTGGGTGATGAGACAGAGAACCAAATTTCCATCTCATTGTGAAAAGCCCCCTTGGCTGAGTTACTCATGGTAGATGGCACCATGGTGGGAGGACAAGTGAGAGGGAGAGATCTCATGGAGAGACAGGGAGCAGGGAGGGCCAGGCTTGATTTTCTATAAACCCTCTGACAAGAACTAACCAGGGCCCACAAGGACTTTCTCAATTTCTTCCTTCATCATAGACATTATAGAAGTAGAATCAGCCAAGGGGGTCCATAAGGAGGGACATCACAGGCTGCTGCTTTGGGAGCCTTGAGTCTGACAGGAGTACCATCCTTCCATAGGAACGTGATGGCTCTTGGGGCACATGGAGAGGGCCTCTGTTCTGCCTGGGATTTCTGCAAAGAGCAGGCCCCTCAGTAGGAGACACAACAGGGGCTGTGTCCCCAGTGAGCTAATACCTTCTCACCTCTTTCTATTTAAGTGTATTTTTATTTTTAATTGACATATAATAATTGCACATATTTTGGGATACAATGTGACATTTAAATACATGTATACAGTGTGTAAAGATCAGATCGAGGTCACTGACATTTCTATCACTTTAAACGTTGATCATTTCTTTGTCCTGGGAATGTTCAGAATCCTCTCCACTGGTCATTTTGTGGTCAACACCGTAGTTACCCCCACTTCACCATGTCACATTAGAAGTCATTTCTCTTGTCCAACTTAGGTCTCACCTTTTAAAGGTCTTACTATCTCTTCACATCACCACCCTGGGGGCCACCCTGGGGACCGAGCTCCCAGCACATGAACCTTGGGGGAGATACCACATCCAAACCACGGCAGCCCCACGCAGCCGACATGTCAGGTTAGGAATGAATGCAGTCAATACCCAAATCATGAAAGTGATCCTCTACATCCTTCTCTTCATTAAGTCCTGGGAATCCAGCATTGGGTTTGCACATGCAGCACTTCTCCATTAGGATTAGCCATATCTGGAGGGTCATGAGTGACCAGGTCCTACCACAGTCAACAGTATCGCCATAGACAGTTCTGAATGCCAGCTGCCCCTTTGCCTTCACCTACACCCCTTTCCCCAAAGAAGGAAAGGGAGGCTGTGTTCCCACTGTCCTCCTGAAGTCCCACCTCTCCTGCCTTTCCCCAGAGAAGGGAAACATTTTCTATTACCAAACACACTCCTCATCCAGGCCCTGCCCAATGTCCTCAGGCCCCCAAGGCCTCCCTGAGTCCATAAGGGATCACTCCCAGGGTTCCTACTCAAAACTCCCAGCCCTCAAGCAACTATTCTGGGCAGCCCTCCAATTCTCCCTCTTTGGATAAAGGTCTTCCTTCTGGCATCCACAGACCATGACACTTATGATTTTAATGTTCCCCATCACACCCACAGAACATACACAGAAAGGAAGCCTCTCAGGTCCTGTGACTTAGAGGCCTTTGGATCTGGCAGGACAGACCTCTGGGCTGGAGCACTAGTTGCTATAGGGAAGGTGGTGGTGCTGGGGGAGCACGAAGGGCCCCGGGGGCTTTATGGAGCAGGTGGGCTGCAGGCAAAGAGCAGGGAGAGAAGCAGCAGGGGATTGAGCAGACCCTGACTCACATGGGCACTTCTGCAGGCCATTGCCAGTCATATGCACCTCAAGTGCAAGTGTCACGGTTTGTCGGGCAGCTGCGAGGTGAAGACCTGCTGGTGGTCGCAGCCCGACTTCCGCACCATTGGTGACTTTCTCAAGGACAAGTATGACAGCGCCTCTGAGATGGTGGTGGAGAAGCACCGCGAGTCGCGCGGCTGGGTGGAGACCCTGCGGCCGCGCTACACCTACTTCAAGGTGCCCACGGAGCGTGACCTGGTCTACTACGAGGCCTCGCCCAATTTCTGTGAGCCCAACCCGGAGACCGGCTCCTTTGGCACGCGCGACCGCACATGCAACGTGAGCTCGCATGGCATTGACGGCTGCGACCTGCTATGCTGCGGCCGTGGCCACAATGCGCGCACCGAGCGGCGCAGGGAGAAATGCCATTGCGTGTTCCACTGGTGCTGCTATGTCAGCTGCCAGGAGTGTGCACGCGTCTACGACGTGCACACCTGCAAATAGGCAGCTCTCCCGAGACCGCGGGACAGGGCTCCCACTGGGGCCCGACCCCCACCTGGAGGTGGGCTCCTCTCTGACAGAGCAGGGCTTAGACAGGGGCAGGTGGAGTTACTTCTTGGACAGGTGGGGCTGGTGAATGAGTAGAGGTTGCTTGACTGGGTGGAGCCCCTTCCAGTAGAGCCAGGCTCTGAAAGGGGCGGGACTTCGGAACCGGTTTCTCCCTGGAGTGGAGCTGCTGTCCCAGGCCCAGCTTGAAGGGAGGGACCTGCAGGAACTGGGCCCCTGGAGAAGGGGCTTTTTCCGGTTTAAGTGGAGTTCCTGACTGGAGGGGGCCTCCCGTGGGTGGGACTTTGGATGGGGCGGGGCTCCTCTCTGAGGGTGGGGCTTTTCCTGTGTGGCGGGGCTCCTGAGGGCCCACTACCCTTCTCTCCTGCCTGCTGAGCAAAGCGCATCCCCTGATGAAGTGAGCTGCAGAGACCCCGCGGGCGGTACTGGATCCCCATTTCCATGCTTCTGGAATCTGGGAGCTTTTCTCCAACCCCTGTGCACCTCTCTCTCCACCTAGGGACTCCCACTCTCCCCACTGGGACCCCTCTGGAGGAAAGTCTCCCGCGTCCCCTCGCCCTCCAACCCTGAGAACCCAGCTCAGACCTGGGAGAACTAACTTGGTAGAGGGTGGCTGGGGAGCGGGGTCTGAATCCCTGAGCCTCTTCCCACTGAGGCCTGCCTCTGGCCTGGCCTCCAATCCCAGGCCTCTTCCAGGAAATGTGCCACTGTTCCCAGCCCACTGAAGTTCCTGTTCTGATCTGGGCTATGCCCAGCCCCCAAGGCCACTCAGAGATGAGTTCTGTGAAAACTGTGGGGGCATCAGTGCAGACCCTGCCTTAGACAGAGGATCCACAGCCACGGCAGTCTCCCTCCCATCCCCACATGGCCAGCACTGAACCCTCCACCCTGCTGTTGAGGCCAAGGTGTCCAAACCTGCCTGCCACCAGCCAACATCCAGGAGCTTTTGAAGTCTCTGCCTGGGCTGGGAGTGAGAGGACACTGGACCCATCCAGCTGGTGCCCAGGGGCTGTCCACAGAGAACTCTCCTTTGTCTCTGCCACTGTGAAATGTCCCCACCCTCCAGGTAAGGGAGGGGACACAGCCAGGAAGGGGAGTTGAAGGCTAGAAGAGACCATGTGCCAGGAACGTCTTCGGCCTGGAATTGTTCATTCTGGGTCTTAATTTCATTTCCGATGCTGCTATCACTGGAGTTTGACAAACAGATGTGTTACCTTTTTTTTCTTTTCTTTCTATGAAAGAAATTATTTTAGTGATAGTGTGTAAGTTTCAAATAATGGGGAAAATAAAATAAATAAGAACGCTTTTTTGTGGCTTGTGCTGGGTTTTTTCCCTTTGATCTTATTATTTTGGATGAGCATCTACTAATTGCACATACTTGAGACTCAGGGTGATATTTTGACACGTGCAGTCTCCTGCCCTTACCGTTTGTGGTGGGCTGGGCCCATGCTGGGAAAGTGAAGATGCTGCTCAGGAGAGGGATCCGGGACAGGGGACACATGGCCAGCCACAAGGAGGCTGACAGCAGCACGCCTCTTCAGGGGGCTCAGGGCCAGCATTCCAGGAGGAAGGAGCAGAGGCAGCTCAGCCAAACAGAGGAGGACCCAGCAGCTGTGCCACAGTCTAGATCAGTGTGGACCAGAGTCCTTGAGTAGTGGGGTGACAATGGGGGTGGTAGGAGGCCTTGTGTGGGAGCAGGGCACCAGGCAGCCATTGATGAACAGACATTGAGAAGGGATTTGGGCCAAACTTCATGCAAGTCAGTGTTGCAGAGGAGACAGGGATCAGGTCACCTCCACATACGTCCACGTTCACGTGTCCAGCATCCCAGCATCACCCTGTATCTTCCAAGTCTTCTAGGTTTGGAGATAGCAGCCTGTCTGCTGTTGGCTTCTGAGTGGAGTCAGTTGGATCCTGCAGGACTCACAGGACCCCAGAGAGGGACTGGCAACCGGGAATGTCTCAGACCCCATCTGTGGGAATCTATGGACCAGAATTGTACTGCTTTCTAGGCAGCCCAGGGCCTCTGCCAAGCCAAGAAGGGAGAGTCCCCAGAACAAGCAAGGCATCCCACTGCTTGCTGAGCAGGCTCATGCCCACCTCTCTCAGAATAAGAGTGCATCTTAGAAACAAGCTGGAGGCCCCTCTCAAGACCACACTCCTGCCTGTCCAAGCCCTGCCGGGGTCTCTGCTCTCTTCTCTGCCCTTTCATGCCTGCCCCCTCTCACTGACCCTACCTCTGGTCCTGCCCTGATGTCCTGCTGAGGTCTTCCAGGGGAAGCTGAGAAGGTGGAGGCAGCTGAAGGAAGCAGGCCTGGTCCCACACTCTCAAAAGCTCATGTCCAACACAGCCATTCCTACAGGCCATTTGCAAGCTGATGGTAAGACAGGGCCAGGGGGCTAGAGAAGGCCTTGACAGTCTTTCTCAGCCTGATGTCCGATTGCTATAATTCACCCATGAGCTCTGGAATTGGGAAACCCGCCTGGCCTACAAGGGCAAGGGAGAAAGGAGAGCACAGCTATGTGGAGTAAGGAGGTAGGAGGACCGAGGCAGCCCTGGAGAAGGGTGGACACAGCACACACCCACCCTTAGCAGAGGTGGGCTGCCTGGCCTGGGGGAAGAGGAACACAGTCCCCAGGCCAACATGTGGAATTGGGGCTGCCTGGGTCATTGGCATGGCCCTACCAGGCCCGCTCATCCCCAACACAACTTCTCAATCTGCCAACCACATATAACCCCAGGAGGAGGCTGGCCCCTGGGCACTGAAGCTGTGAAGGCTGGAGGAGAGCCAACAAGGCTACTGTTGACCTGCCACATGCACCTGCTCCAGGGAGCCCCACGGAGCTGGCAGCATGACACCTACACTGTGGGGCTGGTACCATGGTACCATTTCCGAGTCAAAGGACCCATTTACTGGCTTTGTGGCAGGGCTGCCCAGGAGGCCCCTGAAGCCCTTGAGCAGACACAGGAAGGCCCAGACCCTGCCAATATGGCCCACAGGCCCTCCAAGGAGTGCACTGTGGAGTCTGAAGGGTTAGGGGAAAGAAGGTGACCTGAGATGCAGTGACACAGGGCCAGTGCCCAAACACACACACTCACCTCAACATCTATCTATGCCTCGCATTGCTCTAACCCCCGGTGCAGTCCTTGCATAGATCCAATGTGCAAAACAGCCCAGGGCCGGCTGACTTCTGCCACTTCTGCCCACCACATTAAATGTGCAAGGCCTCCTTGATCACATCAGCCTGTCAAGGACACCAGCGTCACACAGGGTGGGGACAGGCAAGCATGTGTGGGATCAGAGATGGGCATCATGGGACAATGTGGGCAGGATGGGACGTGTGTGGGAGTCAAGGTGGGTAGCATGGTCAGGATGGGAAAAGGGGCATATGTGGGAGCCAAGGTGAGGACAGAATGGTGATCACTTGCTGAGCATGGATACTGGTGAAGGTCTTGGGGTCTTATTCTGATTCTACAGACATCCTGCACAGACACACACACACTCTGGCCAGGTCGCAGAGCCACGCAGACCCTGAGGCACACTGTCCCCTCACAGTGTCCTTAGAGCTCTCAGACCTTAGGGGAGAATGGCTGGGGGCACGGCTGCTGGATGGTCTTGGGAACAATTCTGTGCTGGTGTCTTGGAGTCCCTGAAGGGCTGACTGGCCAGAGCCTGGCATGCCCATGGGGAAGCAGGGCCCAGGCCCAGACTCTGGACCACTAGTACTCCTTCTATCGCCTTTTGAGTCCCCGCTTCAGCCCTGTGCGCCCTCTGGGCAGGTGCTCCCATGTCGTTTTCTCCAACCCATGGACTCCTGCCCTCAGGCCTTGGGGCTCGCTGCACCCTCACCAGGCACGTTCCAGGAGGTAGCCCACTCTCTGGAGCTGCAGGGGTGCCGTAGTCCTGACCTACCACCAGGTAGGGCTACTGAGGAATGCCCAGGTAAAGCAGGGGTCAGCCAGGGCCAGACAGGTGGCAAGCAGATGCTCTATAAACAGAGCCTGTGACTAAAGGTGCGGAGCCCAGCCAAAGCAGGACAGGCACCCATTCTCCCCTCTGGGAAATGAGTCATCAATGGGAGGGGCAGGGGATCCCAGGCCCACTCATCCTGTCAAGCCATCCTGGGTGATAGCTATAAGACGGTCAGTCCCTGGGGGGCAGTGAGGGGAGCCTTGGTCTAGGCCAGTCTGTCAGGTGTGCAGCTTCTCTGAGTTGGGGCCCTGAGCAGGAGCCACCTTAATTGGCACCTGCCGGGGGCCCAGTGCCAGGGGCATCCCAGATGAAAGAGACAGACTCAACCGGGAGGCAGCTGGGCAGGCGGGCAGAGGAGGTGGCAAAGTGTGGGCACGGCCACCAGGCCACAGATACCTGAGAAGTTGGAGTCACACAGGGGTAAGATGCCCAGAGATTCCCAGGGGGCTGAGATGCCTAGAGTCCCACATAGCTTTCAGAGGAGCAGAGCCCACATGCTCAGATGTAGGTCCCTGAGCAGCATCCTGACCCGGCTAGGCACGGGAGATCACTGGGAAGATGGTCTCAGCTCTTTAGAAGGGAGATGCCTGGCCAGCTGTTCCCATCCCCAATGCCATGGCCCTGGAGTAGACAGGGGCAGATCCCAGAAGAGTGCCAAGGAATTGGGCATCTGCAGCCCACAGGGCCACAGGACAGATCCCAATTAATGCCCATGTGGGGGTTGTAATGAGAAACCCTTGAGCAAGCTCTGCTCAGGGCCTCAGTTTCCCTTTCATGGAAGAGGAAGTGGCCTGCAGGATTCTCCCACACGGTGTTGCTGGCCCAGCTGCCATCAGAGGCCACTCTGGAGTCCCTCACCTGCCAAGAGTTCAGCATGCCCCCCAGGAGCCCCAGCCCCCTGGCCCCACTCAGAGCCAGGCGGGGCGTCAGAAGCTGCCTCTCTGGGGAGTTTATAGCCCCCTCCCCGCCCTGGCAGGGAGGAAATGAGCTTGGTGGGCCTGTTCACAGGTCGTTGAGACAGCCCACGAATAACCATATAAAAGGCTGTGGGGCCCCACCCCACCAGGGGCCCCTGCCACAGTCCCTACAGATCTCACACTCTGGGGCTTTGAAGTCCTGCAGGGGGTGTGGCCGGCCCCACCTGGGGCCCACCCCCTGCAAACCCTCCCCTGGACTCCCACTTTCTGGGAGGTGGGAGGTCCTAGGGCCTCAGTTTCCTTCCTTGGGGACAAGCCTGCAGGCTGCTATCCTGGCCAAGCCCCCCACCCAGAACACTTGAAGCCAGCCAGGCTTGGACCCCAGGGCAGCAGGTGCCAGCAAAACTTGGATCTCCATGCCTGGCACAAGGTGCCAAGGACCAGCCACCTAGACACACCTGGAGGCCATGACCAGCAGGGCGACCCTGTGGGCTGAGAAGTCTAGGGCAAGACATAGGGAGCCCTATACCTAAGGCTGCGAGGGAGCTTTCACAGTCTCCAGGAGATGCCTGGGGACAGGACACACAGGAAAGAACTAGGGAAAGTCCCCAGGCATCCTGGAAGAGGCAATCATCCAGAAGCCTATTGCTAGGACTGGGGAGAACTGGGGTGCCCCAAAAGGAAGAGAGCTGGGGGTGTGACAGCCCCGGGGACAGCCCCTTTGAGGACAGGGTGTTTTGTAATAACACCAGCCCCAGGTTTCTGTACAGATAACCCCTAACCTCTGTACCAGCCTTCTCATCACCTTATCACCTCAGTTTACCAGTCTGTATAGCTGAGAGGTTGTCTGGTCAACTCAGTCCTGACAAGGGTGGCCCAACCACTGGGATCCAGCAACTGGCCTCGCTCCTTGCTTCGCTGGAGACTTCCGGAGCCTAACCTGACAATGCACATGCCTTTTCCCCATCAAGAGCGTTTCACCTGAGATAATAGTCATGGCTACACTGTAGCCCAAGCTCAGAGCCAGGTATCATCGAGTGGGGCCCCCAGGCCTCCAGTCAGCCAAGTGGTGCTCAGCTGGTCAATGGTCCACCTTCTGTTCAGGGCCCTGGCTACAGCCCCTGCCCTCCCACCCACAGTCCTTGCCCTCCTTGAGCTGAGTGGAGCGAGGAGCAAGTGTCAGACAAGTACTGACCTTCCACATGTCCAGGGAGTCTGAGAGTCAGCTCTTCCCTGGGACCCAAGGGACACAGCCCTGCCCTGGGACCTGAGGAACACAGCCCTGCCCTGGGATCTGAGGGACATAGACCTACCCTGGTATCTGAGGGACATAGCCCTGCCCTGGGGACCTGGGATGTGGGGGACATGCCTCTGCCTTGGGGCCTGGGGGTCTGGGGGGACATGGCCCTGCTCAG